GTCTACAATATTTCGTTCAGAAAAGAACTGAATACTCTAGATAGTCTATAGACAGTACAGAAAGTGATTATTCAAGAAACAATTGTAAAAGTAGCTTCTAGAACTGCTGTTATAGAGTTCAATAAAGTGAGAAAATGCTTCTTTACAATATAATGATACAGATTCAGAAAGGTTTATCAGTCCTTTATTCGAAGATTTAAGAGCGACCGTAAACTCAGATTACGAATGGGCAGTAACCACACCATATACGAAAATCATATTCACACGATATAATGAATCGAGCCAAGTTTCCTAATTTCTCAAGGAGGGTTATGAAAATGATCGCGCTCATACTGTTGTGTCCGATTTATACTACAATAAAACTGTAAAATATAAACTAGACTTGATGAACTCCTCACTTGAAAACAACCATGTGACAACAGTCCTATGAATAAGACCAAAAGATAGTAAAAATACGAATGTATGATTTTTGCTGTTGCGAGCACCTATTACTTTAAAGCCAAAAAATCAACAGTCAGGAAATTTTCCTTTATTACTACATCGTTAGTACATTGAGACATATTGTCTTAAGTTGGCGGTTCTGAGTTATTTGTCAACGATTATTGTCAGATCAATATTCCTCGTTTACCAGAAATTTCTTAGAAGCTCCCATATGACGCATAGCTTACCGTTAGAGGGATTCATGAGAGGACAATAATCCAACATACATCCACATTCTCGCAATATACCACATGACAAGTCGAGTTTGGACTTCATTTCAATCCTCTTCGTCATCTGGTCGTATTCGAGTCAATCACGACAGGTGATGTAAAAGTTCTTGCAAATATGTAACACTCTATCGCACTCGAATAGATAGATATCGAAAACTTATGCGTTTCTGATAGATTTGAACATGATGCGTGGTTTATAGAGATATTTTTAGTAGACTTGTTTTGTATGCTAGTAGCAGCATCCACTCGGCTTTTTCTAACTCTTTAGCAGCAATATGTAAACATTTGTTTAGAGTAAACGATGCATTGCTCCTCATCTGCACTCACACTCCAAAACGTGTAATTTTTTGTTCATTTGACAAAGAACTCTGAGTATAACTTAGATGAACGCATGAACAAAATCTTGACATGTGATTTGGAAGATCTATTATATCGGTTTCTTGAAATCTTATGATAAGTTATACATCATTGTATCTAGTCCAACATCTGTAGGATAGGTTAGTTTTAATAAGAATCATTCAGTATGATAGATTTAGGTTAGAACTCGAGATTATCTGGATTGGTTCTTCAACAAGACAATTACATGAATCTTTAAAGGTTTATCAGAATGAGTAATGAAAAGTTCTCTTTCGTATGCGCGAAGTGCCAATTAGTGAACTTTTATTGTTTGAGCGAAAAGAACTCAGAAATCGGTTAAAAGGTGCTCATTTGAAGTTCTTACAAGATGCTTATCACTTCGCTATGATCAATCTTTTCAAAATTATTTTCTGACACCAGTGAAGTATATATTTGAATACAGTTGACATAAGAAATGACAAACGTGTAAAGTGATCGAAATATAGTTTTCGGAGAAAGTGCTTAGAAATAAGTTAATTTCAGTTGAGTTTTCGATAATAATTGAATATTTCAACAGTACTGCAATATCTTCTTGCAAGCGATTTGTGTAGATTTTCATTAATATCTCTACTCGACAATATTTGAGACAATTAGTCCAATCTGCCGCTATCAGTTGAGCAAATTCGACTGTGGATTATGTGGTGTGACTCATATGTACGAGAGATATAGTTCATTCTAATACATATTGAATTATTTATGATTCTCTATTTCCTTAATTGTATAGCTTTTTCATTTTAACGACGACTTAGACATTTCCAGCACTACTTAATAGATATTGATAGCCATTAAGTATTTATCTATAGCTTTTTAATCTTTATTTTTTGTCATTTATTCATTTGAAATATCACTTAGTTAGTAGATTTTAATCATACGAAATGCCAGATCAAGTGAAATCGTCGTAGTATCAAATACAACGTATTGAATGATATTCGACATCGATGAAAAAAGGCAAGTCAATACTGTTGACATTGCCAAGTATGACAAAATGAAATAGGGTGTGAACACTTTAACACTCGGTTATCGCCGTCCATGCATAGTGTAGACAGCCGATAATTTGAAAGTTTTGGTTTGACTATGAGGTGCATTCATTTTATGTCAATATGAATTAATCTACTTAACACGCAGCATATATCTTTCGACTGTGAGTGATAAAGGATGGCTGAAGATTAAACAGTTACTCATTCAGCAATTTTCTTTTTCTTTTTTCTCCTTGCTCGACACACATCAATAAGAAAAAGTGAGTAGATGAGTCTTTATTAAAGAGTTAAGAATCATTATAAAATACTGATGGAAATCTCTAAATACTGGGTGAGACTGATTGATAGTAACATGAGATGTTTGCAAATATTTTTGCTCTTACAAATCACAAATAAGAAGATGTACAAGTTTCTCTTACTTCTACCTTGAATAATGGTGTGGACGCTCCAAAAAAGCATAACTTGACGGTCTAAATAAAGTCCATCATATAAAAACTCATTGCTGAGCGGCCACCTGCAAATAACGAGACATTCTTTATTTTCCAAAATCATGAGACACAAATTAAAAGTATATCTGATACAACAAGTGAAAGCATTTAGATGATTAATTAATTAATCTGTGAAAAAAAAAGTGTCGTACTAAATCTTTTAGGGTTGTACCTCAGTACGATTTTCTGTATCTTTTCTTTTAGTCCTAGCCAAAAGTCTGAGCTGTTTAAAGTGTCACACTTTCTGGCTAAAACTTTTAAGTTCTGAACTTTATGGCTAGAACTCGAAAAAAAGTTGAAAAAATGGTACCCAAATGTAGAACCTTAGAAAGTTCAGAATCTTGGGTAAAACCCTTAATAGTTCCTTATGATACCTTTTTTAGAGAGTAGAGAACCCTATACAAATTTCATTTTATGTCTCTCTAAATTCATTCTCATAAGCCGACGTCATTCGTTAGTTTAAGTAGATTCATCATGTTGAGATACAATGAATGCTCTTGTAGTTGAACTAAAAATTTCAAATTATCGGTTGCCGATAACATGCATCAACTAGGATAATCGAATTTTAAGAGACTTACGCTCTATGCCATCTGATTGCACTTTAAAATTTCAAGAATATTGATTTCTTCTTGTTACATCAAGGTAGAATATAACTCATCGAATCACCCTAGAAAAAACAATAACATATTCATATTGAAAAACAATGGTCTGAAAACATTCAAGTTAAAATTATTCTGAAATGTAAGAATAATAGATACGAAGATTCGCCTATTATAAAACAATTTTTAAATATGCAGGATACTGTGTGACAATTTCAATTATTTAAAATATATATATATTTCTTTTTCTTGAATAATTATTGAATCTTAATATAACTACCATAATATTTAATAACGTTTGGCTTTAACTACCTCTAGTATATTGCAGATCGATAAATTAAATGCTGTTACAAAAAAGTACAACCATTTCAATCATTGAGTAACTATTTAACTGTTTTAAATTAGTTCATTAATTAATTTTACTATCTATGAAAAATGTTTAAATAGCTATGATAAGGTTTAAAGAGCGCTAGGCTTTAGATAGGTAGTTACATGAATTATCAGTTACTTAATTATTAAGTAGTTGTATGTCATTCGGAAAAGCATCGCTTCTGAGAAGCTTCGGTGTTGGGCATTTGTCACTTTCGCTGTACATTTGCCCTACCGTTTTTTTGTAGTTATTTCCAAATTTTGTATTTACACCCCTGGGCAGAAATGTTTCTCACCCCCTCCTTTTTCAACAAAGTTTTTTCTACTATTATAAGTACAAAACATGGTATTCTTCGGACTGATCAGGGATTATCAGGGTTCTCTTTTATATGACTCGAACAACACCATGTCATGTCCTTATAATAGTAGAAAAAACTTTGTTGAAAAAGGAGAAGGTGGGAAAGACTTTTGCCCAGGAGTGTAACTTGACAACTTAAATAGCATAATCCTTTCTTTCCATGATTAATCTAGTACGTGCTACAATATACTGTGTCTATTTGAATGTTGAACAAAGTTTTTATAACAAAGGTTATGTTTGCATTGTTAATTTGAAATGTATCATGGATACACTTTAATTTGATATAGAATTAATTTTTTCAAGTTTGATAGTACAACGAAAAAAATATATCACGAATGGTATCTAAAGATATCATTGAGAAAGAAAGAGATAAGTAAATGAGTACCATATTGAATTAACATTCGGAACATTTGGATGTACTAGTTTCCAGATCAAAGATGGAGACGAGTTGTCATTTTGTTAGATTTTAAACTACTGAGTAGTCATCAAGTAATTTCTGAGGATCAGTTGGACAAAATGTTGATTCTCAACAAAAAAATAATAAAGAGTTTTGTTTTCATGTATCGACAAGTTTGATACAAATTGTCAAATTGAAATATTTTTTTTCACAATAAAAGGCAAAAACCTATTCTTACATTTGTCAAAACCAAAACTAAGAACTAAACGACATATACCATTGAATGGATCGAATTGTTTCGTGACATGTTGTATTTAATACTGAATATTGTATATTACTACTTAGTACCATAAAAAACTAAGCAAGAAAATAGCATTAGAATTGAATTCGTCTGTCAATGTAGTTGACTTGCAGAAGTGAATGAAATAAGAATCTTAAAGTTTGCTAAACACTGATAAGAAAACGACACCTTGTAGAAATTCCTCTTAGTGTATACTGTTTAGAATGATAACGATAAAGAGAGAGAGGATCGAGAGTATTTTCCTTGTATTGAATGTTATTTGATGTTCGTAGAACAATTTTTTTTCTTATGCCAATTATGTTCGCGCAGTTTTTTCAGATAATTGTTCAGCTATTCCTAAAAAGAGTCTACGACACGCCAGGCCATCTTCATCGTTCAATTTATATTCTAGAATCACACGAATCAATGCATTCAGACTTCTTATTACGGTTACGGCGCATTATTCCAACCAAAGCACCACCAAGTAAACAGCTTTATATTCCATTAGTTTTTGTAGGGATTAGCACTAGAGTGTTATTTTCACTTTAAAAACACTTTAAATAGAACTGTTAAAGTAAATTTAAAGTGATAACCTTACACTTGACTTATTTCTGTAGTTCTGGCCTGTAACAACACTAAGCAAGATGGATCAGAGACCGATGTCGACTGCGGAGGTTTATGTGCAAAAGCAGGTTACAAGTGTGGTAACAACATGATGTGTAAACAGGGACCGGACTGCTTCAGTAACAATTGCACAAACGGCCGATGTATTGGTGAGTACCCTGCTCTGCTGTCTAGGAATGAAACATAAGTCTTGCTTTCATAGCTCGAATATGTAGTTATATTGTTTAAAACTTGCCGGTGCAGTTCCATAGGTATCCCAACTGTAGAATTTACAAACTTTGACTGCTATAAATTTATGATATACAGTGCACGTCAAAAGTTTTTTCCCCCCTTTGTATTTTTTAGTTTTTATCATTAGAGCTTTTTAATTTATTAACTTTCTATATATAGAAAGAAAGCCCAGAACGCGCTGCATCTAATAGTATATTTACATTGAACAACAAGTACAGTTTGAAGTATAAAGAGTGTATTAGAAAAAGACGTGACATTTTTTTTTCTGTACAAATTGATCGAAATCTTAAAATGTATGAAGAGTAACTAGTGTTTAGGTTAACTTTTGATTGAAACGAGATACAGACCTGCGGTTTTCACCGTTAGAAAGAGGACATAAAGATGCATCGAATTCTATACTTCGCATGTCTCTGACAAGTTTTGTTAAGGTCTTTAGGGAACTTTTCTTCCAAAATCGACTGTTTCGTACTTTTTGCAAAAAAACTTCACTTTATCCCCTGTAGAAGTCTCGATTTTTAAATAAGGGTTAGCTAAAGACCCTAACAAAACTTGTCAGAGACATGCGAAGTATAGAATTCGATGCATTTTTGCGTCTTCTTTCTAACGGTGAAAACCGCAGGTCTGTATCTCGTTTCAATCAAAAGTTATCCTAAAAACTAGTTACTCTTCATACATTTTAAGATTTTGAACAATTTTTGCAGTAAAAAAAATATCACGCCTTTTTCTAATACACGCTTTATACTTCAAACTGTACTTGTTGTTCAATGTAAATATACCATTAGATGCAGCGTGTTCTGGACTTTCTTTCTATATACAGAAAGTTAATAAATTAAAAAGGTCTAATAATAAAAACTAAAAAATACAAAAGGGGGGAAAAACTTTTGACGTGCACTGTATTATCAGAGGAGTTAAAATACTTAGAGCTATTCCAAAAGAATAGTGAAGATACTGTATTTTCGTATAGAAAGCTGGAAAAAAAATTTATATGCAATAATAATATAAAGAGTGCTTTATTTTTCTATGATATTTGATCATTCTTCAACAAATATCATGATAGTAAACGTTTGATAAGACCTATTTTTCTAGAATATGTAACAGTTATACTAATAGCTATTTAAAAAATAAAAGGATGATTGGGAATTTTACAAATAACTTTTGATAGAAACAAAATGGAGAGCTACAGTTTTCATCGTTCGAACGTGAAGACCAAGACGCATTGAATCGTATGTTATAAGATTTCGTACTATTTTCTCTGAAGTTTAGTTGATCAATTTTCTAGGTTTACGAAAATGTTTTGAATCAAAACGAAACAGCAACAAAAAGAAATTTTATTTACAGAAATACTAGGAAAAAAACGACGAGGAAACTACCACAACTGATTCCAAGCTTTCGGCTTCATCTTTTGGCTCTAAGTAGGTTTCAGGGAGACTAAGAACACCCTAGAGATATTCATGCTTATGGCGTATTGGTAAAGAGTTATGGCTGCTGTACTGTAAAGCAGCCATAACTCTTTACTAATATGTCATAAGCATGAACACTTCTAGGGTTTTCTTAGTCCCATTGAGACCTACTTAGAGCCAAAAGATGAAGCCGAAAGCTTGGAATCAGTTGTGGTAGTTTCCTCGTTAGAGTTTCGGCTAGAATACCTATAACTCCTTAATGATAAATTCCAAACATGTAAATCTTGTTCAATTTTTGTAGATCGTCCATTGACGGTCTGCATACACATCTGACAACTGAAGATTCGCCGTAAACATCTACGGGGTAGATTTGTTTTCAAAGAGGTCGATTGAAAATTTTAAAAAAGTCACGGCAAAAATGTCTTATAATATACGATTCAACATACCTTGATCTCCAGTTTCGAATGATACAACACGCAGCTTTCTATCTTGTTTTTATCAAAAGCTATTCAAAAAATATTCAATCACCAAAAATAGTTCTGATCAAGATTTTGCTATTATGTTATCCGTTTAAGAATGATCAATTTTCATACAATAAATAGGGCGTTTGTTTTACTGTTATTGCATATAAAAAGAAAATTTTTTAAGCTTTTTATGTGGAGTTACAGAGCCTGCATCATCACTTTTGGACAGTCCATTTATTTTAAAAAATACTAAAAAAAAGAATAAATCAAAACTATAACAAATTTTATTGTCGATATGCACCTTTTGAGATTTCTTCATTTTGAAAATATTTTCATTTAGAACTAGTATTGTACAAATTTATTAGGTTCATTTCACATCTTTATACTGAGAAAAACTTCTTTGTACTGTCAGATACATCTTGCATACACAAATGCTTTTCTCGTAATGATAATATATATTTATATAATACTTGGTATAGAAAGCAGCTAATATTGTTTTATTATGCGTTTCATCAGTTCAACCACTGCATTAACCTCTTACACACATTGATTTAATCATTATGTAAGCTACCGAGCATCACATTGTTTCTCTCAGCGAACTTTGGCAAATACTATTGAGTTTTACTTAAACTTAGACTTCAATCAGTTCATAATTTTCTATGTTCGTCCTATTCTGACTTTGCTAGATGAATAATATCGCCACTCTACTGATTGGCATTTACAATAAGATCCTTGAACTGTATTAAGTACCAAAACCCACAATATTGAAACAAGTTAGAATCTACAATAGAAATCATGGATTCATGAAATGTTTTGGAAGAAATTAGAAAGTCCCAGAATGATCTAAACACTGTTATTACTGTTCCTCGTTGTGATGAAAACGTTTCCTTGATTTAAATATAAACTCACTGTTTTCTTCGAAAATAAGTGTGAACTCCACAAAGTTAAGGCAAGACCGATATTGGCTGTAAAGTTCTACGCACAGCGCACCAAAAAGTGCATACATGGAAAGCAGTGCAGCTCGTCTGTTTGAGCGGTCGATGTATTTTTAGGTACCCTGTTGTGAAAAAAAGGTCCAACATTTCTGTTTTTTCTTAGAGCTTCAACATGCAGTCATGAGTGTTGATTGAAAATGCCAGTACGTGAATATTTTCCCACCACCCTACACATTCACATCAGTATCAACACTCCGGTGTTTAAAAAAATCTGTGCTGTATTTTATGTTGCGAGTACCGGCATAATAACAGGCATAAGTACTATTACATTGCCTTTTAACAGGGACATTGTTTCGAGCTTCTATCAGGCAAAAATTAATTCTTTGCGATCCGATCGCTATTCTAAATGCGAATGAATTGTTCTGCAAAATTTTAAGGTTTTGATTTATAATTAATTTTAGGCCCAACAACTACAACAACAACTACAACAACAACTACAGCAACAACTACAACAACAACTACAACAACAACTACAACTACCAGTAAGTAATAGACTAAATAGTTGAATAGTAATCCTGCAATAGTCCAATAGAAAACTTTTTGAAGATTTGAAAATTATTTAACTTCGCATATACACATATTGTCGAAAAAAGTCATAGCTGCACTTGTAATATCTTGAAAAATAAAGAAGCGGCATACCACGACACAGAATGCTCATATAACCATGTGCAGCTGAAAGAGAATGAAGCGGATGCAGTTCCCTGATCTTTTTCTTTCATTGTCGAATGCTTTTAGTTCTGTAGAGTTCAGACGAGTATCTAAATTGAACGAACACTACTTTTTCATTAGAAGATTATGCAAATTTTTAGCTAATGACATAGATTCGTCTTCAGTATGTAAAGCAACTTTTAAGGAGCTTTGTTCTCAATTCTCTTGTTGGCCACGAACATGTATGAAAGAAGCTATTGACTATATTCTTTGTTGCCAAGGGCAATCTTTTTTCTTTCATCTTGTTTTGTGAATCATCTTGCTAACGTAGGAACTGTTCACTTATCGCGTCCCATATTTCTCTTTGCTTTTGATCCTATTCCTCTGTTGAAGCTTGCCTTCTTTTCTATTTCTTCAAGAAACGATTATTACCGAAAAGACAGAGAAGTTACATTCGTGCTTATTTCTCAATAACTTAACAAACAAGAGTACACAAAACTAATATAGCTATAACAAGTAATTTTTTTTACAAAATTAAGTACTTGCATTATAATTCTTATACCATTTGAAATAGCTCCATGACGAAATTGATCATTTTACCCAGTGAAAAATTTTTGCGATTTTCAATCGGATTTTTTTGCAACAAAATCAAAATTAAAATCGATTGATAATTTTGATTATTTTCGATCATGGCCGAACTATTACTTGACATTGTTACTTATTCAGTGTGAAATTTTCTGATTGAAATCGGATTACTTTGCAGGATAATCAAAATTATTAATCGATTGATAATACTGGATTTGCTACAGAATCATCCGATTTCAATCAGAAAATTTTACACTAAATAAGTAACAATGTCAAATAATAGTTCAGTCATGATCGAAAATAATCAAAATTATCAATCAATTTTAATTTTAATTTTGTTGCAGAAAAATCTGATTGAAAATCGTAAGAATTTTTCACTGGGATTAAACTGAATTAGAAATAACGTCCCACCCCTATTCTGAATTTGAATTGAAAT